CTAAGAGATCCTTCTTTTTTTGCATACACCCATTTGCAATCGATGAATTTCCTTCATGGAGGAAGTTTCACGAACCTCAAAGTACCATTCTTTTGAAGTGACACCATCTCCTCATCCATTGCCGCTCTCCCAAGATCACAGTTCAAGCTCTCCACTGCTTCTTTGTCTTTATGGCTGAAAGTGCAAATGCAACATGATCCCTCAACCAAGAAAGTTTTGAGATAATTTGGCACCTGCTCCTGCTCTTTGTAATAGTTTCATGAGCAGGAATCTCAACCTCAGCATCTTCTTCCACCTTCTCCTAAGAACTATCAACAGATACATCTTGAGCTTCAACTGAATCAAATATCTGAGTCAAAGTGGAAAAATATTGTGGAATAAATTAAGTTGCATCAAACTCCAACTTCTGATGCATATCTGTGGTCCGAATAGAACTCTCAACTTGCTTTGAGTCCCAAATTTTCAACAATTCTGCCTCGTCGAATATAACATCTATGTTAATGAAAATCTTTCTTTTTGACGTATCATACACCTTAAAGCTCTTAATTCCATGCTTGAAGCAAATAAAGATTGTCTTCTTTGCTCGTGGTTTTAGTTTATCATTTTGCATTTGGTAATAAGCTGGACACCCAAACACTCATGTATTCATAATCTCTAGTAGAATGTTCTGACCACATTTCCTTTGAGGTTTTCTTCCCAATATATGCAGAAGGCAGACAATTCACCAAGTGACAAACATATTCTATGATATTAACACAACATTGGATAACAAACACCAAAAACTATCCACCAAAGTCTGATTCATCGTCTCTTCCACCCCATTTCGTTGTGGTGTTATTGGCATCAATTTTTGATGTCACAAATACTGAATGCCTCTTTGATATTGTTGGATCATGCAACGCTCCCGCTCACCCTCAAGTAGCTCAAAGAATTTGTCGAGACGTTATCAGAAGCACTCCATCTTTGGACTAGGGTTGCCCTCATCCTGGTCGTGTCCGATAGTAACTACCACTAATCCGTGATGATTTCCCCATTATAGAGGCATGTTGAACGATCATTTTAAGGCGTTTGTAATTTCTTAACATTTTCCAATTTCATTTTCTTCACCTTTCTTCTTCTTCTCTGGTGACTGATCTCTCTCTCTCTGACAAATTATCTGGGGAGCACGGCTGAGGGATTCATCCTAGCTTGGGATAAGGAGGATTCCTGGCGAACTCTCGGTTTCTCCAGCAAGAAGAGAATCATTCTACGTTAGAGAAGGATAACTCTGGTAAACTTTTTCGGCGATCTCTTCGGTGAAGAAAGCTCCCTCATTGCTTTCTAAGAAGATTTGGGTGGGCTTTTCTCCTACTGTTAGGATAGCTTCATTCTAATAGAAAAAACACATTCACAACCTTCACGATGATAAGATTATTTGAAATCATTGTATTTTTTCTTTTCCTAGCCAACTTTAGGAATAGATTTTTCTAGATGTTGTGGGTTTGGTTGCCCACACAAGGCAGGTGTGACCAGCAACCCAATATCGTCTGGCTCAATCGATCGCCCATTACCAGAGGATCTGATTGGTCAGACGATATTGATCGACCATGTCATACATCTTTTGATTGGTCAGTTTTGTGGAGTCATTGTGGGTTCGATCGCCCGCACCAGGCAAGTTGGTCGACCGATACTAGTCAACATTGTCATACACCTATTAATTAACTGTTTATTTCTTATAGAAAGCCCTAGGTTAGGAAGCACATTTGTGACCAATTCCTTTATGAATCTGAATGACTTCCCATTATAAGCCTTAGCCCCAGTGCTAGCGTGTCGGAGTCCTAAATTTCCATGGCTTTGATGCTTCCAATCTTCATTAAAGGGTGGGAATAGTTGGATTTTGAAGAATGGGAAAAACTTTATAGCTAGCCCATTCTATAAGATCGTAGAACGGTTGTAGGATGTGAAAACCTTTGTAGCTAGAATGTTCTGCAAATGATAAATGACTTCTCCTATAAGTAATAAGAGGATGAAGGTCTCCACATTCCTAGCAAAAGACGGAGGCGGCTATGCTGAATATCTAAGGGCTAAACCTTAGGTTCCCATATGAGTACGTTATGGTCAGCATGATTTGCTATTATGCATGATAATTGCATTACATTGTGTGTTTCGGTGTGTTGTATGTTGCGAGGTACAATTTACCATTGCACTTGGGTTCGATCGTAGTCACTTAGCTATAATTCATGACCTTCTTCCCATGAATGAGTGTCATAGTAAAGTTTTCATACTCATCCAGGAGCGAATTCAACTGAAGAAGTGCCTTATCTTCATGTTCAAACTCTTCATCCAAATTTATCAATAGCTTTGTGAAGTCATTCGAGTGCTCATCAATAGTAACTCTCCATCTCATCTAAAATTTGTTGAGTTGACGCTTCATGAGAAGATGATTGTCCACGCTCTTCGTGAGATATTTGTTCTCCAACATCCTCCATAATTTTCGTGTAGAAGTCTCCATCATCACCCCATATTTGATTTCTTGAGTCAAATAATTTTGGATCAAGCCACAAACACTTATGTTCATCTTCAACCAATTTATCTCTAACATCTCTTCAAGACATTCCTTGCTAGCCAGTACTTCCTCCGGATTCAGAGATCACATCACATCTATCTTCTCGCATCGCCACATGCCAAAGTTTCCTTTATCATAAAATTTCAACACATTAATTTTGAGGAGATGCTTAACCACCTGATGAATCGACTTTTTCACAGTCATAGTGGACATTGAAGAACCCGACATCGTGTTATCATTATGTTTTTCAAAATTGTCTTCACAAATCACGGGCTCTGCTCCACAGAATCAAATATTGGGTTCTTTCTTTCCCTGCTCCACAAAATCTCAGAATTCTTCGACAAGCTGGACTGTCGGGCAGAATGCTCAGGCGTACCACGCTGGATAGTCGTATCAGACCACATCGAATCCTCCGCTAGCGCCTGTTTCATGCCAAAATCCCCGTTGAAGCTCACCAAAGCACCGCCAAATCCTTCTGAATATGCCGACAAAGTACGTCAGACCACATGCTGCACAAAACGCCAACATCACACGTCGAATATGTTGTTGTCGACGCCATATCTTTACTCCGATTACAAACCCAAAACTCTAATACCAATTGTTATGAGAATATAATGCAAAAACGTAGAAATTCACACAACAACAATCAAACACAAAAGATTTACGCGGTGCAACGTTAAATCGATTCACTAATGTCCACGAGAGGGAGATTTCACTAGCACTGGATGGGGAGAAAGAAAAACTGCTTTGCAACTCTTCTACTGCTTGGCAACTCTTCTCACCATACACCTCTCTTTGTCTCTCATAAAAACTATGTCATTTTTTATAGAGGAGGACTAGAGCATACAAGAAAATAAATAAAAAGAAAAAAAAAAAAAATCAATTAAAATAAAAGCCATTACATACAACAATACCTTTAAGAGAAATATATGTATAATTAAAAAATAATGAAGCAAATAGCGCAATATTTTAAGTAATTACTTTCTATTAAAGTATTTGACTTATATTTATCATCATAAAGAAAAAAAACTTTATTCAATTAATGTGCATACGATTTATTCCTAATCTAAAATACTAGTTGTTTATGGTAAGGAATTACAAGCCCTAGTTATAAAAGTTGAAAAGATATATAATAAGTACTTAGAGATGATATGAGGTGAAGAAAAGGCATATTCTTGAGATCAATGATTGAGTATTACATAACATAATCAATAAAAATTTTTGACAAAGAAGAATTTATGCATAAAGTTATATTTCCCCATTTTTTTTACTTATTTATTTGTGTAAAATATTTAATTTAAGTTTATTATGAACTTTAGACCATAATTGCATAATTGGATAGGACAGGTTGGTTCAACCAGTTTAATCGTGAATCAATCATTTAGCAGGTTTGATCCAATTTTAGAACTGTTTCTGCATAGAACTAAAATTGAACCATTTAAAATTGAGGTTGAACCGACAAACCAATGAATCTGTCTGGTTCTTAAAAAAAAACCAATTGGTTAAAATATTGTTCAATTTTAGTCATTTGATTTTTATGTGATGACTAATGATAAGATATTTAAATTATATTCTAAATCAAACATCCTATTCAGATCGAACCATTAAACCTTAAGCTTTTCCAATATTCATAAGCTTTCCTTAAACAACATTTAATTAAAATTATATTTACATCCGATCTGACGAGATTTATTCAACAAAAAGAAAAAAAAAACACTAATTTAATGGAGAAATGACCTAAAATAGTAGAACGTTTCTGATTCGGCCTTCCATTTATGGGCCGTCCAAGTGTCTGCACCCGTAAGCATTGGCCCAACATTTCTCAAGCTGAAATAGACATGATTTTTCAAGCTGAAATAGATATGATGGAGCGCAACCTTCCCTCTCCTTCTTCCCAAACAAAGAAACTATTTAATGTGAAAGCAACAAAAAAAAAAAAAAATCTCTCATTTGCATTCTGAATTTCTCTACAATGAAATTTATGAAATTATAATAAATTTACAAATTAAACAAAAAATATTTTACTTTATAAAATCATCAAAATCCAAAAGTAAAAGTTAGCTTAGAACTTAGTACAAAATTGCTACTAACAATATATATATATATAGATATATATATAATCTAATATTACAAAAATAAATAAATAGGATTGTCATGCAATAATAACAAATATTAGAAATTTACAATCTCCATATGACCGTTGGCACAAATAATTTTTCTTCCCGCGTATATCGGATTACCTCCATCAGAAATTAACGGTGGATCGCAGCTCCCATCAAATTCAACGATCAAGATCACTCTAAAACCGCTACCAATCTTCCTGCCGAGACCGAATCGAATTCCATCGTCTCTCCGTTATCCGTATCGGTTTCGGTGCTGGGTCACCGTCCCCGAGTTCTCCTCTCTCTCTCTCTCTCTCTCTCCCCCCCCCTCTCTCTCCCTCTCCCTCTCTTTTGCATCCTCTGCACACACTTCTCTCTCTACCGCTCGACCTCTTCCTCTCCACTTGCCTTTTTTCCGCTCCCACCCCTTTTATTTATTTCCTTTTCACCATACTTCTCCTCCGCACCCTTTGTTATCTACCGCAGAAGCAAAAGCTGCACCAGGAGAACCCCACGAGTCGACGTCTTCTTCGGTTACTTCGCCCTATTTAATTCGATTCCTCTCTCGATTCTCTTCTCCTAGGCCATCTTTCACTTGCGGATCTTTCCACGGTATGTTTCCTTCCAGATTCCTTTCATCTCTAGGGTTTCAAGCTTGTATCTTGTTTTTTTTAGGGTTTTGTTAAAGGGAAATTTACATACGTAGCATACAATTGTTAATATGGGTTATTAGATTGCTGACCGAGTCATGGCGATCGTCAAGAACAGCTTTAGGGCTTCGAGAATGAACGGGTATTTCTCATCTGGAACTGTTTCAAGCGAAGAGGATGATGAGGGCTCCGCGTCGATGGGGTCTTCCACCGACGGCGGTTCTGCTTCCGATGCAGATTCCGGCATGGGTTCCGACGAGATCGATCTGTCCGAGTTTGGCGAGTCGGGGATGGAGTTCTGCCAGGTGGGGAACCAGAGTTGCAGCATCCCGCTGGAACTCTATGATCTTCCAGACCTTGGGGCGGTTCTGTCGATTGAAACATGGAACGATTGTCTCACCGAGGAGGAGCGTTTCGCTTTGGCTGAATATCTCCCCGACATGGAATACGAGGGTTTTGCCCTAAACATGAAGGAGCTGTTAGGTGGGATGAATTTTCATTTCGGAAACCCTGTTATGAATTTCTTCAATAGGTTGAAAGGTGGGTTTTTTGAACCGAGGATTGTTCTTTACCGCCAAGGTTTGAATTTGTTTAAGAGGCGACAATACTATCACTGGTTAAGAAATCATCAGGATTCCATGGTGAGGAATCTTGTTCAGATTAGAGACATTTGGGTGAACTGCAATGGATATGGTGTTGAAGAGAGGCTGCGAGTTTTGAACATTTTGAAAAGAAAAAAGAGTTTGGGTTATGATAAGAATGGGTATTTGGGTTCTGAGATGAATTCTGAAAGCGGTGATTCCAGCGAGGCCTACTGGAGCAAAAGGTTCACTATGGACCCTCGAGCTAGAAAATCATCTCAGAAAGTTCCTTCTGAGGTTTTCTCTAAAGATAGCAGGATGAATATGAAACCGGTAAGGTTTGGGAAGGAAAAATCCAAGGGGATTTTGAAGGTTGCTGTCCCCAAGGGCTGTAATAACAGTAAAGGAAGTAACTTTCCATTGTTGTTTAATAATGGAACAGAGAAGAAAGCAGAAATGCCCAGACTTTCATATGGTGTTCGTCGGAAAGATAACCATTCCGGCTTTGATGCCATTAATGGCGGGGGAAGAGGTGGAGCTGATGGGTATTTTGATGAACAGGTTGATAAATATGGTGGGCAAGGTGATTGGAATGCTGGTAGCAGACTTAAAATGGCCAGGTCTGGCTTGATGAAATCAAAAAATAAGAAGCATTTTCGGGAAGAGGACCCAGAAATGTTACCTGATTACCTTGGTGGAGTTAGAAGATCTGATCAGGAAGTTACCATTGCTTCTTATGACTATGATTCTGTTAGAACTGTGAAGAAACCGAAGCATTCTGACAAGAACTTGAAGTACACGGCCAGTGATGAGCTTCAGCATCGATTGCCCAAATCCAAAGTATCTGAGGGTCCTGCTATCATTCCCCACTCTAAGCAGCACAAAGTTTATGATGAATGTGTTCCTCTCAACAATTTTGATATGAAATGGAATGCTGGAGATAATCATAGATCTGGCTTTGGTTTGAAAGCAAAGTCTTTTAAAGTTCCTCCGGCAATGAGTGAAACATTCTTTCAACCAGAGTATAGAACAAAAAATTCGCAGGGTAAGCTGATGGATAAATCTTCTAATCAATTAGGAGTCAGGAAGGGATTTTCGAGGGCTAGGACTTCCTACGTTCAAAGTGAAGAGACTGAATCAGATTCTTCAGATGAACTCAAAGAAGATGGCCATGGTTATCCATATACAAGCAGGCCAGAATTTCCAACCCCAGCAACAAGCAGGCCAGAATTTCCAACCCCAGCAACCGAAGCCCGGCAGTCAGGATTTGTTAAACCAGTTCTGAATTATAGAAAACCAAGTAAAGCTGCGAAATCCAATAGAAGGGATCTTCCTCTTCCACTCGATGGAGTCGTGACTGGCCACACAGCAGAAGATGAGCCTAACTGTAAAACTGTCAAGCAGAAAGGTAAAACAAATTATAAAAGTTTCTTGCATGGGGGTAAATCTGCAAGGAAACACCAAGCAGTTCATCTCAGTGAAGAGTTACAGCCTGCTTCGCTTGGTTCTCGTTCTGCAAACAGAAAGAGGAAACTTTCGGCAGATATACATCACTCTTCTCAACGAGCAAATGAAATTTATAATCTTGGAAGCAGTAGTTTTCATAAAGCCGAGGATAATTTTGATGCAAATACGCGCTTATCGAATATTCAGAGTCAGGCAGATGGAGCTGTAAACAAAATCCAAGTTTTTAATGAATATGCTTTGGAGAGTGGTGATATTCTGTTGAAGAATATAGGGAGGGAAGAAGATGGGGGGTATCATGAGGATCTGAACGAGCCTTCTTACCAACAGTTTAATTCAAGGAAGCAAATTGATGACTCTTCTGCTACAAAAAGGAGAGGGAAAAGAAAAGCTGATGCCATTGCTGCCCCATCCCCTCTGTTATTAATCCCTGAGCCAACGTTATCGGAGAAGGTCGCATCTGAGTTAGATATAGATATGAAGACGCAGAGAAAGTCCTTCACTCTGATAACGCCCACCATTCACACTGGTTTTTCCTTCTCGGTTATACATCTTCTTTCAGCTGTTCGGAAGGCCTTGGTTTCACCTCCTATGGAAGATAATGCAGAGATTGGTAATCATCTTGACAAGTTTAAAGCAGAGCCGAAAAGGTTACTACATGTTGGCGACGACATGCTTATTTCTCATTCTCAGGATCAAATGGCGGACAACAATCTCGAGCCCGGCTGCCATAATAGTTTACCTTCTGTCAAAATTCAGGACATTGTCAATCATGTCAGATCGAACCCTGGAGATCCTTGCATTCTCGAAACTCAGGAGCCTCTCCAGGATTTGATTAGAGGAGTCCTGAGAATATTTTCATCCAGGACAGCGCCGTTGGGAGCTAAGGGTTGGAAGGCACTCGTATCGTATGAGAAATCGAGTAAAAGTTGGACATGGATCGGTCCGCTTTCTTCGATTTTATCTGATAATGATAATGCGGAAGAAACTTCTGCCGAAACTTGGGGCATTTCGCACAAGATGCTCGTCAAATTGGTCGATGCCTTCGCTAACTGGCTAAAAAGCGGTCAAGAAACCCTCCAGCAAATCGGAAGTCTTCCTGCGCCGCCTCCCATGTTGCCCGTCTTGGACGAGAAGGAGAGATTCAGAGATCTGAGAGCCCAGAAGAGCCTCAACACCATCAGAACAAGTTCTGAAGAAGTAAGAGCGTATTTCCGGAAAGAGGAGCTCTTACGATACTCGATTCCAGACAGGGCCTTCCAGTACACCGCATTCGACGGACGAAAATCCATCGTAGCACCATTGAGGAGGGGCGGCGGCAAGCCGACTTCGAAAGCACGCGACCATTTTATGCTCAAGCCTGATCGCCCGCCACATGTTACTGTTCTTTGTCTTGTTAGAGATGCGGCTTCCAGATTGCCGGGAAGCGTTGGAACCAGAGCAGATGTTTGCACTCTGATCAGGGATTCCCAGTACATTGTCGAAGATGTTACGGATGCGCAGATCAACCAAGTCGTCAGCGGTGCTTTAGATCGTTTACATTACGAGCGCGACCCCTGCGTACAATTCGACGGAGAGCGGAAGCTATGGGTTTATCTCCACCGGGACAGGGAGGATGAAGATTTTGAGGACGACGGTACGTCATCCACGAAGAAATGGAAGAGACAGAGGAAAGATGCGACTGATAATTCAGACGTAGCGGCGGTGAATGATTCGAACTACGCTGCAACCGGCGATCCAACTGCTGTCGGTTCTTCTGGATATGATTTCCATCCTGATCTTAATGTTGGAGACAATGGGGAGCTCGTCTACAGTGATCTGAGGCCCACCAAGGAAAATTTTCAGTCTTTTATCCACACGTCGCATCATGCAGATAGACGACAAGACAACTCCATGAGTTGGGACGTACTTGGAGCTGAAAATAGAATGCTTTGTCAGGAGAACTCTACAAATGAAGATTTTGACGATGAATCTTTTAGCAGAGATAGGACGGCTGGATTTTTGGGCGGAAGCTTATTGTGAATTTCTTTTCCATGATCTCAGTTTGTGAGTTCATGTTCCAGGAGTGATCAGGGGTAATAATAACTGAATTAAGTATTTTAATTTCGGAAATGTAGTTTTACACTCCAGAGTTTTGTTCCAAAATATTGCATTTTGTAAAGATTAGTTTGCATATATATGCATACTCGTTTACTGGTTTTTGATCATACAGGCTTGCTGTTTATATTTTCTATTGCTTTTATTCTCTCCATGGAAATCGTTTGCATCTAACAATATTTTTAAGGGGCATTGACATACATGCCACCCAATTCCTCTGTATTTACATATCCAAGACCTGAACTTTACTTTTTCTTACATTTATACCACCAAAATCTTTCATATCATGTGAAAAATACCACCTTTTAAATATTTAAAAAGTGAGCAACACCTTTTTATGCATAGGTAAGGAGGTATGTGTGTAAAAATTAAATTTTAGTTGTTGGATATGTACATACATAAGAATTTAATGGGTTGTATGCAATATCTCATCAGTTGGTTCTGTTATATTCTTAAATTTCATATCTGTCCTTTTATTATTAAATATTTTCCTAATTGTATTTCATATAAGTATCTGTCCTTTTATTATTAAATATTTTCCTAATTGAAATGTAATGCAATGGTATGTCAGCCTCCATTTAAGCAAGGAGGTCATTGGTTCAGAGTCATGGAGAAGGCTTGCATAAAATCAACCCCTCATCAGACCCTATATTGGTGATATAGTAGCATTGGTACACATTAATTCCTATGTCTTTACATATCTAACACCTAAACTTTACTTTTTACATTTCTACCACCTGAATCATTCATATCAGATAAAAAATACCACCTTTATAGCTTTTAAATATGAAATGCACCTTTTTTTTTGCGAAGGTAAGTTGGCATGTATGTAAAAATTGTTGTTTGGGTGTTAGATATGTAAGTACATAAAATTTTAGTGGTGTGTATGTAATATCCCATCAGTTTTTTCTGTTATTTTTTAAATTTTACATAAGCATTACTCTTTTTATTATTAAATATTTTCCACATTGAAATCTATAGCAATGGTTTTTTTGCCTCCATTTAGGCAAGGAGGTCATTGGTTCAGAGTCATGGAGATAAATGCATACACAACCCCTCATCAGACCCTATATTGGAGATATGCATTGGCGCACATTTTTTAAACGGGAAATTTACATATTCACCACGCAATTCTTAAGCATTTACATATCTAACACCAAATATTTGATATTTACATTTATAACATCTTGGTAGTAAAAAAACCTATGCATGTGAATGATATTTCTGATGTGATGTAAAAAATTTGAACTTTTATATATAAACTAATGAACGTTTGGTTGAACGCTTTTTCATTGTTTTTTCAAAACTTTCCCTTTGAAAAATTGTTTTTGAAGCAATAATAAACAAATATAAAAATATTTCAAGCCTTTTTTTGTTGTAAGGACAATGCATGAAATTCTGAATGTTCAAATTCTTCGTGCTGGCTTGTTGCAGAGAAGTATTCTTCTTAATTTTACTTCTATTACTGTTTCAAGTCTGGGAATATGGCTCATCTTTCTAATCTTCTTATAGGCATACAGTAGGCTCATTTTTCTTTGTTTTTTTGGGAAAAAAAGTAAAATTTACATTCATAGCATACAATTCTTATGTATTTGCATATCTCACATTTAAACTTTTATGTCTATATACATTGCACTTTGGTGTTTTAAATCTATAAATGAAAAGGTGTATTTCACTTTTAAAATATGGCAATAGTGTTATTTTTTACGTGATATTGAAGATTAAAGTGCTGTGAGTGTAAATATGAAAGTTTAGATGTGAGATATGTTGATAAATAAGAATTATGTACTATATATGTAAATGCCCTGCAAAAATTAAAAAAAAAACCACCTGATTCCTTTCTCATATTCTGATTTGGGTAATTACTGAATTTTATTCTGTGTTTCATTTCAAACATGAAATCTTCTTAAAAATTGCATTTTTCTCTGAATACTGCAGTGTGACTGAGATAGAATGCCAGCTCTGTGATTCAAAGGAAACTAGTTTAAGAAGCTGGGAAATTCAACAATTCCGGCGCTCCTTCAAAGAAGCTGGCACAAGTTTACTACATCCTGAATAAAGTTCAAATCCATTTATTTTGACTTGGAAATTTTTACTTCCAGATATGCAGAAGTTTCATATCTGATTCTTCTTCATATATCTGATTTCTGAAATCCAAGCTGCTTCAGATCTGAGCCAGCGGAAATTTGTTCTACTGGGGATGTTTCCTGGTGCATAGTAGAAATTTTGAATCATTTTAATACTGTTTTTAGCAGTTTTTTCTTCTGAATTTATTGCTGGGGGTTTTCACTTGAGTCTATTTTACTGGAAACAATGTTGATGAGCTTTTATATCATGCGGTTCTGTCTTGTCTATGACAAGGCTGTCATTTTGTCTCCTGATTTGAATAGCAACTACAGGAGCACCAAATTCTGGAATATAAATAAATTAGTTTAGTTTATATCTCAGCAAATTGATTTGATTTTTGTAAGCTTATGTTTGATTCAATGTTATTTATATAATATATGTTATTCATGTCACAAGATTATTTATAAAAGTCATTTACAAACTCATAACACAATTCTTATGTATTTACAGATCTCACACCTAAACTTTCATATTGACACATAGCACTCAAGTCTTTAATATCAAATAAAAATAGCACTTTTATCACTTTTTAAAAGTGAAATACACTTTTTCATACATAATATTAAAGCACCAAAGTGCTATTATTTAAATATTAAAGTTTAGGTGTGAGATATATAGATACATAACAATTATGTGCTACATATGTAAATTTTCCTATTTATCTATGATTTCAGTGTTGTGAAATGCTCTTAGGCGTTGTTTGAGTTTTTATGAGGAAATGAAGAGAAAAAAAATTGCATCAGGAGCTCTAGATACTGCATTTGAAGATCATGTTGATTCAGAAGTACTCATGTGCCCCTTTGAAATAAAATTTCATGAATAATTGAATATATTGTTAGAGAAAGAAGACGACATGTAGCTCTAAATGCTTACATTAGTTGTATACAGTTTTTCTTATTTTATCTTCTGGTATGATTCATGCTGGATTACTGATATTATACAATTACCGATTGAAAAACAGTAGGTTTGTAATGTGAAAATATACTAACCTTTAGATAATTCACTGTTTTTATACCATTTGTTGGAACAGAAAGAAAAAGAAAAAAGGAAGAGAGAGAGAGAGAGAGAGAGAGAGATCTGTACATCCTCTTGGATTTACTCAATCCGGTTGAATTCTTCCTTCATTTTTTGTATTTAGGGGGACTCGCTCATTAGCTGAAGATAGATTTTTCACTTCCCCATTTATCTGCTCACATAGAGACTTCTTAGAAACCTTCAAGCAGCTCTTCAAAGTCTGGTGTTCTCAGCTCCAATATCAATGCCACGCTAGGCAAATTGGTTCACCTTTTTATTAGGTGCTGAAAAAGATGGTTCATGCATCCACCTGTGTAATTTACAACTCTTATTAGAATTTTAGGGTTCGTTTGGGATCAATTTTGTTTTTTGTTTTGGTTTTTCATTTTTATTTTTTGTTTATGTTTTGATTTGAAATAAAATATTTTTAGTTGAAATGACTTTCTTAAAATACTCAAAATACACAAATGTTGTTTTGCGTATTTTCAAAAATTGGTTGATTTATTTTTTTTAAATAGAAAATAAAAACATGTAAAAAATACAATAAACAAACATGATTTTTAAGACGAAAAAAAAAAATCCATTCCAAACGGGCTATTTGGGGTGATAGACCGTCCCTATCACCATTTCACACCTATTTAAACCAGTTTTATGAATATTCATTCTTTTTTAATCTATGGTAATTTAACTTTAGTATTCATGATACTTTATGTAATATTAGTCTATGTGTGTAAATATGAAAGTTGAGGTTTAAAGTACCTAAGTGTTATAATATAAGTTTAAGTGCGAGATATGTAAATGCATAAGAATTGTGTGCTAATATGCTTACCATGTACTCCTGTTCCAGACACTTTTCAGTGCTATCTGTGATCTCAACAATCTTGAGATAGTGTTCATTCTTCAGGTCCCATAAATCCCTGATTGATGGAATGGTAATGGAATTGATGCTCTCAGAAGCATCATTGTAAAGTTTCAGAGAACCTGAAGATTTCATGAATCCAAAGTAAACAAAAAAATGGAAGAAAATTTTCATCAATACTAAATTTTAAAGTTTAACATCCAAGAAAGTGTGTGCTAATATTTGAAAAACATGTTAAGAGATGAATCGGATAGGTCACAATTAATGGAGGAATGAAAATTCTTGATGCAGGAATCTAAGTCCCCAAGTGCAGAAGATTGGTTAGCTCTTAGCAGCTGATTGGCCTCCAATCCATTCCTATGAGAGAAAAAGTGTAGTTTGATTTTAGAATCAAAGGTAAAATGTTGATATTTTATATGATGAGTTAGATATTTAGGAAATGAGAACAAAATAGTAAAGAAACAATAGGCGCTGAAACTATAATAAAGTTAGGAATTGCAGTGGCAAAGATAGAATTTTTGAGTTAGAGAGATATATGATTGTGATAAACTTAACTACATCAGCTTTATCATACAATAAAATGAGGACATAGAATATGGCATAATTTCTTAAATATTTAAAAGTTCTGAAATGTCTAAATAGTGCAATGAAATAAAAAAAGTTGGAAGACTTCCAAGATATAGAAAAACATAATTGGATTAACCAAGCATTATAGCATAAGTGTGAATAATAAATAAATTATTTAAACAAAGAAGTTGGGAGTGCAAGAAATGATAACTTTGTTATAAGTGTGGTAAATTTGGAAAGGATAAGCTAATAAATAATTGTTTTGCAGGGAGAAAGTGAGTTTCATTTATTAAAAATATTACACTGAAAAAATAGCTAATTTGGATATGTTCGACGGAGCTTAACAACAAGTAAACTATGAACCGATGATACTATGGGCAAAAGCTGTACAAAAAGACTTCCAAAAGCTAGATTAAACACCTTATGTTGCAATCAACACAAATGAATATAGAAGAAGGATTCATTGAGCCAACTTCAAGCACTTTGGGTAAGAATTTTTTTTAAATAAAAATAGTATAATGAGAAAATTATATGAGTACACCCATGATAATGTACAAAAATTGTCAAGAATAAAAAAAAAAAAGCAAAATACAGTTAAAGTAAAAGCCAGGGGAACTAAATCCTTAGATAGATGAAAACTACTAGATAGCTCATTTGGATTTCCAAGCTTGAAGCCCAGTGAAAATATGAGTGATGATAAATATATATATATATATATATATATATAGAGAGAGAGAGAGAGAGAGAGAGAGAGAGAGAGAATAATTTCTATGTTTTATTGTATTTAGAATCTAAAAGACTAAAACCTTCTATCTATTAGGGAGTCAACACTGTGAGTAATTTCATTTGAGTTTGGAGCAAACTATGACAATTTTTTTACAACCCATTATTGACTTGAAAGTCACCAAGCCAAATCAAAATTGCCTCTATTAAGCAAACTTCAAAATGCAGTCATCAACCATTTTTTGATTGGATATGTACTCTACAATTCCACCTCAATCATAAGCTTTTACAATTTGCAAAATTGCAAAAGTTCTTCATACCTGACAATTGACTCCATTGATGATATAGTAGTTCTCCCTAAGCTCAGCAACCAATCCTGAGCATTTTCCCAGAGCAGGGAATCCATTTCAGTCTTCTGTATGCTGCATACCATAGGGAATATCAAAGGCTAAAAATGTGTTGGGAAGATTTGCATGCATACCACTCAATTCTTAAGTATTTACATATCTAACACAAACTTCAATTTTTACGTACATATCACCCTAACTATGCATGAAAATGTGTATTTGACGTTTTAAAAGTTAAAATTGTGGTATTTTTTATGCGATATGAAAGATTTGGGTTGTATAAATGTAAAAATTAAAGTTTAGGTCTTAGATATGTAAATCCATAGGAATTGGGTGGTATATATGTAAATGCCCCAATATGTTATTAGGCTTTAAATTCATTCATGTACATAAAGTTTGCTCCTGCAAGTGCCATTGGTGACCATACCAATCATTTAGACCTTCTTCCAAGCTGCATCTTCTGCTTTCCACTGCAGCAGTGTGCTCAAGATAATTATTTTCAGTTTCTTCCATGTAAAACCTCCATTGCTCTTTGATCATCGAGGTCAAATTTTGAGCGTTGGATATTTCTTTTTGTAGGTTATTTGCTCTATCATCAGCACTTTCTCTGAGAATGTTAAATGCTGTCTGAGCCTACAATGAAAATGTCAAAAGATAAACTCGGTAATAAACAATGAATGCTAATTAACATATTTGATTATGTGGCCTATTACCAGTTTAATCTATGATTTTACTTTTATTTAGCAACAACTTTATTATTTATTTAGATTTTTTTTGTTGTAAGAAGGGAGTTTCACAATCAGATCTTCTAAAATGTGGTGGCTATAATGAAGTTTTTTCTAATTGTAAGAAAAAGGTTTATATAACTCACACCAACTTTAATAAATTTTAGTTTTTTGGGAATAATTTTATAACTAATAATAGTATTTGACACTCATAATAGTAATTAAGTACTACTAGTAATATAGGTTCCACGAGGGGTATTTACGTAAATACAACCCAATTCCTATGTTTTTACATATCTAACAGCTAAAATTTAATTTTTACATTTATACCGCCCAAACATTTCTGTCTTTTTCTTGAAGCATGTCTTTTTCTTGAAGCATCACATAAAAAAATTCCATCGTCTTAACTTTTAAAAAGTGAAATATATCTTTTCATGCATAGATAAGGTAGCATGTATGTAAAAATTGAAGTTTAGGTATTAGATAAGTAATGCATATGAATTGTGTATTATGTATGTAAATATTCCTCCTTTGAATCAACTAGAATGCACTATTTTTACCAGTTTTTTCTGCCTTTTTCTTGAAGCATCTAGCATTTGCACCACCTTCTCTACCAATTGTTTTTCTTCATAATCTGCAAACTCCTGCAAGAATAGGATAAATTAATAAGAAAATTGTTTTTTCTATTGTTAATCACTAAAAAGAGAATCACCTCAAACTTCCTCTCCATCTCACTTAATTGTTGGTGCTGTGAATTATTTGTTTCTTTCACAATTTTGCTCAATCTTGATGCAAGAACTTCTACAGTATGGAAGTAGCTTGTAACAGTATCTGAAATGGAACGTGTTGCCTCCACAGTTCTTAAATTTCCCTGTTTTAGTAATCAAAAGTTTGGAACCGAGTTTGCTTAGCAGAGAAGAAAAAAAAAAAAAAAGATTTGCCACTCAATTCTTATGATTTTATATATCTGACACCTATGGTTCAATTTTTACATATATGCCACCTTACATAGGTATGAAAAGGTGTATTTTACATCTTAAAAGTTAAAACTGTGGTATTTTTTATGTGACTGTGGTATTTTTTATGTGATATTTTTTATGTGATATGAAAGATTTGGGAGGCATAAATGTAGAATAGCAAAGTTTAGGTGTTATATATATGTAAAAACATATGAATTGGTTGGTATTTATGTAACTGCCCTCAAAAAGAAAGAACAAGAGAGTCTGTGAATTTTCATTGTGAGAAAAAAACCTCATGTTGCAGCTGTGCAAAAGCATTCAATTTGAGTTTTTGATTAGAAAGGTTACTTTCAAGCTCTTCAAGTAAATAATCAGCCTCTACTGCAATTCCCTTAAAGCACTGTTGCAGAATGGAATAAATGAAAATAAGGAAGTTGTTGTTGAACTGATAATTCGTAGAAATATGGAAGAATTCTCACATCTTCAAGAGATGTAGAGTGTGTAAGTACTTGTGAGTACAACTTTCCAAAAATTATTTGAGAATTTTGATCTAATTCTCCAGCCAAAACATCCAATGTTGTAATTTCAGATCCATAAACAGCTTTCATTTTATCAACCAATCCTTTGAGCTCTTTAGTAACCTGAGTACAAAGTGAAGTCAATAAATAAGATTCAAATTTATTATAAAGGTCATAAATATAATTTCAATTTTGGTAGAATTGCAAGTTTCATCATTTTATATTGTGTGTACCACAGCCTTGATAGATTGAAATGATTTCATGTCTTCTTCTATTTGCTTCAGTTGGTTCTCCTGCTGCCTCACATAATTTGAGACAATTTTATGCAAAATATGAAGCTTTTTATTCAACTCTGATTGAAACTTTTGCACATTGGTTTGGTTCATCTCTGCAATATTATCTTTGTGTTCTGAAAATCAACGACGCTTGATTATAACAATATAAAACAGACTTTTTGCTTTTGTGAATGAGCAATATGAAGGATTTATTTGGGATCAATTTTATTTTTTGTTTCTTTTTATATTTTATTTTATTTTAAAAACATGTATATTTAGTGTTTTTTTTTACCTGTTTTTATTTTTTGTTTCCAGAACAGATTAATTTTTATTTTGAAAACACTCTAATCAACATTTAAACTTTTAAGTGTTTTAATTGTTTTTAAAAACAATCATATTTTAATCAAATATGTTAAACATGTTTTCTTTAAAATCAAAACATAAACAAAACAAAATAAAAATAAATAAATAGAAAATATAAAACAACACTGATCCCAAATGTCCTCGAAGTAAATGTAACTCATTAGAAAACACATAAAACTGCAATACTAACCAATTTTAGAGGATAATTCAGACATATCAGCAGCAGCATGGTTTAGCTCTGATCGAAGAAAATTCACGTGTTTGGCAAGTACACTCTCTGGACAGCATTACATAGAAAACTCACTCAGATCTCAAAGGCTTAAAAAAAGAGCGCAACTGCAATTTGCTAACCTGAATGAAGAAGCTCCATTATTAAATACTCCTTTTCCCTTAATGTATAATTTGCTTTTTGATATTGTTCTTCTTGATCTATTATCACCTTTTCAATTCCTTTCAATTTATTCTGAGACAGACATATATATAAAATGAAATTTAGTTTTTTTTCTCGAGGGTTGGAAAGAGATGCAAAAGCAGAATATACAATAAAGTGTCATAATAGTCATTTGACTGTTTAAATTGGGTCATTTTAGTCCCAGAGTTCATAAAAATGCTAAATTGGTCATTTGACTATTTTAATAAGAGCTAAAATAGTCCTCACTGGGAACTATTACAGCACACATTAAAAGAGTCAGGGATTAAATTGACACTTTTATAAACGTTAAGACTAAAATGGCCCCGTACAAAAAGTTAGGGGACTATTTTGACAATGTTCTCATATACTATACCTGGCTATAATTAAGTTTCTCAGTTAATTCTGTACTTAATTGTTGTTGAGAAGCATGAAGCTCTTGAAGCACAGTTATTTGCTGGTATTAGTATCACTTAATGGTTAGAACTGTTATGAAAGCTAGCTTTAAGAATTGAACAATGTATGGAAAATACTTTATCTTTGGACTCTATTTCTTCTTGTATGCGCTCCATTTTCTCTTCCATGGCCTGAATTAGTACAAAAAAGTTACCGAGTTATGTAAATGTTGATGAAATAATGTATTCATAGGTAAAAGTTATATTACTCTACAACCTTTTTCTCAGCTTCTTGAATGAAGATATTCCCGGGGATGTATATGCCCTTTTTCTCTCTTATAGCATTTGCTTCTGCACAAAAGGTTGTATATATATCAAAAAAAATTCTGCATTTTAGCTCTTTGCTTCATTTCTATTTTGGAAGATTTACATACATACCACTCAATTCTTATGATTTTTATATCTATCACCAAAACTTTAACTACCTATGCATAAACAGTTGTATTTTACATTTTAGTAATTCAACTGGTGTTAGTTTTCATGTGACTTGAAAGATTTGAGCACTATAAATGTAAAAAGGAAAATTTTGGTGTTGAAGATGTAAATGTGTAATTGGGTAAATTTGTCTATTACAAGGGCGCCTAGCCTAAGGGTAAATTTGTCTTTTGTATGCCTAAGTACAATTTAGATTTTTATTATTAGTATTGTTGGGAATAAATAGGTTTCTTATATTTAGGGTTTTTTTTATGCATGAGATTGGTTTAGGTTTTGGGAGAGATTTTCTACCTCTCAAATTGTAGGAATTGAGAGAGTTCGCCTCCCTCTTGAATCGTATGTGCTTTTGTTTGTATTTTCATTGAGTTGTTTAAATTATTGAAATAAGAAATCTATTTTGCTCAAATTTTTATGGAGAATCGTGCTGATTTTGATGTCGGATTGTATCAAATTGGTATCAAAGCTAAATAGGGAAAGCTTAGATGGGAGTGCAACCTACTGAGGTTTCGTAGCTCCGGTCCTTCTTTTTTCCCCTCTGTCTTCGCAACACGACCGAGATTAGAGCTAGTTGAGATGGCCCTTTTTTCCCCTCTGTCTTTGCAACACGACCGAGATTAGAGCTAGTTGAGATGGCCACACGGGAATTGCACATGGGAATTGGGCGTAAAAAGACCTTAAACTTCCATCGTTCTCCTCCTTCCGCATTGTCCTCGCAATACACTAGCGAGATGACAGTATCCAGTTGCAAGACAATCATCATTCAAGATCCCCAAAGCCAGTGACCAGATCAGGCGCCTCCTTAGGATGGAACTTCTCGTTCTTTGGGAAGCCGACAACAAAATTTTGCCATTCTTCTTGGGATTCAAGCTAGCTGGGAAGGCAACCACAGAATCATAAGTTTTGAAACCCTACAAGAAGCAATGCCAGTAAAGAAAGTAGATGATTTAAAGAAGAAATTGGAGGAAGAAGTGGGGCAACTCAAATCTGAGATGGAAGAAAGGTTCTTCACCATAGAAAATAGTGTTTCTTCCATAAAGAGTCGAATGGAGGACAGATTCGAGAGTATAAAAGAAATGCAAGAAATGATGAAGAAGATAATTGAGTTTCACACAAAACCGACTCTGCCCGCCACAGGGTTGAGAGATGATATCGGGAATGGACTTTAACAATAACAACCGAAAGGATTTGCACGACATGTGAGCAACATCACATCTTTGGGTGAATCGGGAGCTGTGGTATCAAGCAAAAAAACCGGAGCGGACTCAAGCTACAACACTTTGAAGAAATAATACGACATTCAGATGGCTTGGACAAATAAAAGCAAGTTGGATCAAAGTTGACAGAAATGGAAGAGGCACGTGAGATGGAGTTGACAGATATTCTGGTGATCGGTAAGCCACTGTATAAGTTATTTGAGGTTGTGATATTTTCTAAGATTGATTGGAAATCAGGCCACCAATCGATTTAGATGCGGCCAAAGGATGTGCACATGACTACATTTCAAACTTCTTTTGGTCACTGTGAATACCTGATTAAATGGAAAAGATTGTCAGATAACAACGTAAATGGGAAACCACCTGACTTGATCGCGCAACAGTTTTATTTTTTCTCACCTTGAGGACAATGTCTCTTTTGAGGGGGAGTATTGCTACAAGGGCGCCCAGCATAAGAGCAAATTTATTTTTTGTATGCCTAAGAGCAATTTAGTATTTTATTGTTATTATTGTTTAGGATAAATAGACTTATTATGTTTAGGATTTTTCTTATGCAAGAGATTGAGTTGTGATAGGACGCAATGAAGAAAAATGATTTATGTAGCCGACCCCACGTAATGGAATTAAGGCTTTGTTGTTGTTGTTGTTGTGATGAGATTGAGTTGTGAGTCCTTGGTTTAGGTTTTGGGAGAGATTTTCTACCACTTTAATTGTAGGAATTGGGAGAGATCGCATATCTCTTGAATTATAGGTGCTTATCTTTGTATTTTCATCGAGTTATTTCAATTATTGAAATAAAAAATCTATTTTGCTGGAATTTCTGTGCAGAATCGTGTTGATTTTGACGTTGGATCGTATCAATGCTTCTTCTATTTTTTGTTGTGATGCTGCTCTAATGTTCTTAAAATTTAGACTGACTCAGATGCTTTTAGTTGTCTCTCTAAGATTGTTGTAAACATGCCTTTGCATTCTCTTTGTCTTCCTTTTAGCTCTTTACCTTAAATCTTTGAACCTTATCAAATTTGTATTTTACTTGCAGAGGATCAGGCTTGAGAGCTTAGGATTTGTGAATCCACCTATATTTTTGACTCACTAAATCATTCCCTTGAGTCACAATGGAGGCAACTTAGCCGCAATTCTCCTTTCTTGCTTTAGGTATTTTTCAAGGAAGATTTACTTACATACCACTCAATTCTTATGTATTAACATGTCTAACATCAAAAATTTAATTTTTACATGTCACTTGACCTAAGCATGAAAAGTTATATTCCACTTTTTAGTAGTGGCATTTTTTATGCAATATAAAAATTTTGGGCGTTCTAAATGTAAAAATCAAAGATTTGGTGTTAGATATGTAAATTCATAGGAATTGAGTGGCATGCATGTAATTGCCCGTTTTATTAATGGTTAAGACAAGATTATTTTAAACTTAAACTAATCGAGTGATTGTACAAGAGAGAAGATTTCAATTTCACAGACCTTTTCTGAGACGATCAATCTCACGGTATAAATCCTTCGTCATTACAGATTTCATAATTTTTTTATTAATCTGCAAAATTGCAATTGCATAACCGGGTCAAGCATGTGAACACACACAAAGAAGATAATTCACCAACACTGTAAATTAAAAAATTTCCATGACATAACAAACCTCTGGTTTATTCTTGATATTTCTTGCACGTTGAGCATATTCTAATGTGCTAAGTGTCTCTTCCAGACAGTGAATCGAAGGCGATATTGTCGCAATAATGCAAGCCTTAGTTTTTCCTCCCAAAGAATCCCTCAACAATCTTGTCAACTTGCTATCTCTGACGAACTCAAAAATAGAAATTAGAATCTGTTAAGTTGTAGATTTTATATTTGAAAGATTTACATAAATACATCTCAATTTCTTGTGTATTTACATATCTGATACTTTTATTTTTTACATTCATTGCCACCTTATGTATGCATGGAAATTTGCATTTCACTTTTTTAAAGTTTTAATGTTGTTATTTTTGATGTGCTGTGATATAAATGGAAAAAGGCAGAGTTAGGTGTGAGATACGTAAATACATAGGAATTGGCTGGTATGTATGAAAATGCCCCTTCATATTTTTGTCTTTCCTAATGTGTCCTTATAAAAAGGGAGGATTGTGCTAGAGTTATTAAATGTAATTCTCCACAATCATAGCCATTAATTGGGTGAATATGTATAAAATTCTACGTGTGTTCTGTTTCATTTGTTGAACTTCTTATGTTTTATATCCTCATTTGCTCTTGCTGATTGAATTAAATTTTGCAAATTTCTCAACAAATTTGAACAGAATGCATCAAGGCGGACAAATACTTTCACATATTTTCACTTTTACCTGTAGGGAATATGGCTGGATTCCTCAACAAGCGCATTGATAACACGCCCAAGTGTGAGCAAGCTTTTATTTATCCCTCCAGCTTCCCTTGATCTGCCCTGCATAGCATAACCCCAAGGTACATTTCTCAGTTTCTGCCACACCCTGAAACTCATAAAAATCACATATTTTTTCCTGAAAAACACACAAATTTACAGTTTTCACGCACCTCTACAGAACCTGATCTCAAAACATTCACTGAACCAGCTAAATCCACAAGATTGAGCTTTCCAGTTTTGATCACTTCTTCTCCCTCTCGAGTAAACTCTTTTATATGAACTGTGATTGAAAATATGGAGTGAGAACGATTGCTTTGCTGGTTTAGTAGAGTTTCAATGGCGTTCCGTCTTGCACTAGCTCTATCCATTATCTTGTATATTTCATCAGCAGAACGAACTAACTTCTCTTCCATTCCTCTAACAATAATGCTTCCTTTTCCATCTTCCACGAGAGCTATCGGTTTCTTCAACTTATAATTTGTGAATTCCCACTCATCTGGAGCCAGAAGATCTATTATTTCCTCATTATGAATCTCCAGAAAAGAAACTTTCATGGCGTATTCTGTGAACTGTGCTTCCAGTTCTTCAAAAATTTGCTGAACTGACCTTGGGATT